TTTACCTAATACTGAATTGATTAAGTTGCAGAGGGTTCAGAACGCCGCTGCAAGATTAGTGACTTCAACACGAAAATACGATCACATTACACCTATATTACGTGAACTACACTGGTTACCTGTGAAGTTCAGGATCCATTTTAAACTGCTATTACTTACTTTTAAAGCTTTACATGGAATGGCTCCAAAGTACATGGTAGATCTACTTGTTGTCAAAGTGGAAGGAAACTACCTTTTACGCTCTAATGATAGCATAATGCTATAGAGTTCCCTAAGGGTAAAATTTTACGGTCATTTGGCGACCGATCTTTCACTGTGGCAGCTCCGAAACTTTGGAATGAACTTCCGAAAGAAATTCGTGACATTTCGTCAATAAGCGTTTTTTCTGAAAACTTGTCTTAAGACTCATCTTTTTAAACTAGCTTTTAGTATTTAGTTTGTATTAAAGTTAACATTTCAACATTTTATTACGCTTTTAACATTAGTTATATTGTAATACAGCGCTTTTGATCATTATATGTAAAAAGCGCTTTATAAATTATTAAATTATTATTATTATTATTATTAACAAGTGTGAAAAATATTGGTAGATATTTTAACTCGATAGTTAACGTTTTGAAGCATCAAAATCTTTATAAGTCTAACATCAGATCAGTGTCGAATAATATTTAAAGTGCTGCAGTAACATGCTATATCACTAATCTAAATTAACTGTTGGACTGGAAGGGTATATCGTATTGAATTGAATGAAATGTCAGTTTCATTCATTCTGTGCATCAAATATTAATTTTATTTTATTTTGTATAAATTCACTCCGAGCATTAATAATTAATAAATTTTATATTAATTTAACCGATAAAATTTATTATCGCTGCTCAAAACAAGCCGTCTCGAACATTGGCAATGTCGACCCAACAAAACATGTTTCCTAAAAGGCCCAGTCAATAAGTGTTAACTATATAAACATATCATTTAAAAAACCTCTTGTGCATGTCAAAGTAATTTTCGACGAAGAATCAAACGAAAAGTTTCTCGATAATTCTTAAGTCTCCAAATGTACAAAAAGGGATTAATAGCAAAGTTTATCAAGTACATTTCCGAAAAGATCAAGTATACAACTGAAAAATCAGACGACCGGCCATGAATCAGCCAATATCCACTTGTTGGAACCAGTGTGAAAATTTGAATAAACGCCACAATCATGATCGTTTTCACAAACGCCTCTTGTAATGCTCGATTCCGTGAGCGACTTTGTTGAGAAATATGTCGTTGTTGCCTTCTCAAAGAAAAATAAATTAATACGTATATTAAACTGGTAACCACAGCAATGATGATAAATGTCGCATCGTATATTTTACTGTCCATTTGGTTCACGCCAAATGCAAGATATTTTACCAACGGGTACAGGCTTAGAAGCCATATTGAAACTATCCAAATGGCGATCCTTCTTCCATTTAAGAGCACACGATGTTTGAATGGATGAACTGTTAACATATAACGATCGATTGCGATTGAAAATATAGAAATCATTGATGCAAACATGGCTGTACTCAATATATATGAAACTACGTTTCGCATTTCCTCAGAGACGTCTAATATTTGAATTAAACCGAAAGCGCACGATATGAAGTCGGAGAAAGCTAAATTCGCGATGAGATAAGTCGCAGAATTCCTGAAACACTTCAAAGGATCTTTGACCAAGCAAATAAGAAGCAATAAATGTGATGAAATACCAGCAAAAAGTGTGAAATATATTGGTAGATACTTTAACTCGAAAATTAACATTTTGAAGGATCAAAAACTACTTTTTAAGTCATGAACGTTCAATATACACTGGTATATGCGGCCCGCAAAACGTTTATATTAAAATGCGTTGTTAATTAATGTGAATAAATTAGGAACGTTTGCAAATTGCCAAGTATTAAAATGATTAAAAATTCATAAGTCCCTAATATCAGATCAGTGTCGGTTAATATTTAAAGTGATGCAGTAGCATGCTATCGCTGATATAAAATAACTCTTGGACTGGATACCAGGGATGGA